AGGGGGGGGGGGGGGTAGCATCCCTCAGAAGGGATTTTTCCAAGTGCAAGTCTTTATCCTTTTCTTAAATCTCAATAAAAAGGTACTGTCCAATTAGGGCTACATGAAAAAGTGCTATCCATATTCTCACGCAGTTCTAAGGCTCTTTTTCTGATACAGTGTAATGTTTCTGTATTTATTAATAATTGATTGGTTGATATAAATGATATTTCTATGGAATTTTGTGAAGGCCAGAGAGGCTAGATCAAAAAGAATGAAAAAGAAAAAATGCTTCCGATATTTTAGAAGATTTTAGGGGTTATTTGAAATTTTGTGATCATTTAATCGAAAATTAATACAATTATTTTAAACTTCAAAGTATACTTGCACCGGTAGATGGTGATGGTGATGGCGCAGTTAGTTATTTGAAGAATCGCAAAATTGAAATTAAATTATTTTTTTTATTTTTATTATTTTTTTTTCAAATTTCAAAGTTATTTGAAGAATCGAAAGCGAACTTGACTGCGTGCAGTTTGAGGTGGGGTTACCTAGTACAGTACAGTGACATCAATAAGGAATTCATCAAAGTTTGTATCTCTAAAATTTCAGTCTTTCGGACGAGTAGGTAGCGGACGCCCGCTTTTTCCTTCCTCTTTCGTACTTATGCCAAATACTCAAATACAAGTAGAAGTGACTGCTCTGGTAAACCTCATCATGAGGCTAGTCCCTTCTGTTATGCAGGTTTTCCAAGTTTGGTCCGGGAAAAACGGATTTAGCCTGTTTTCGTTCCCCTTCCCCCAATTCATCAGCCCATCTACCTCCATGTTGGTCCACATATGTAGGGTGGTTATTTCGGCCACGTAAATACATAGACGCGAATGCTATTCAGGACGTGACCGAAACTGGTTACGTTTATGAAATCCGCGAAAACACAAAGGGCATTGCAAACACGACTACGAACCTGTATCCATGTACATATTGGTACATATGAGTACCGAAGCTTTTTTTGGGAGCAAAAGGTGTAACGTCTTCCCATCTGAGCTGCTTGTAAGAAAAATTATGGATTGAAGCAACCTTGTTAGACGCAGAGCTACCTGCGCCAAGAATTGATCACAGAGGTAAACCTGAGCGAAGTGGTCAACCTTCCTGCTCCCATCCGTAAAAGAGCGAACCACTGAAGCAGATGATAATGCCTCGGTCTTTTATCTCAAGGTGTTCTGTAGAATGTTTGAAATGAAGATTTTTTGGATATATTTAAATATAATGGATTTTAAAAGTGAATTTAAGCGAATGAAAAAAGGTTTTTAAATATTAGAACAACAATGGAATTTATTTCGACTTTTTTTGTGACCACAGAAAATCACAAATCGAAGGGATACAAAAATTTGCACATGATTCCCAGAACTCTTGCGTTATCGATCTATTGATTGGGTATATAAATATTATTACAATCACGAAATTCTTAAAGTTGCAAATCGGTCTCTCCCAAAAGTCCTTACTGAATTTTGTCTATACCAGTGTCGAAGTACTGCCATTACAGTACAGTAGAGATCACAATTTGNGAATAAGTTTTCCGTATCACTACCTTTATCATAATCACAAAGTAACCCGGACGGACAGACCGACAAACCGACATACCGACATACAGACAAACCGACATACCGACAAACCGACAAACCAAGTTACTGCTTTATATATAAGAAGGATTTGTAATTTACTACTCTTACCACAAATAGCACATCAATTTTCTGGTCCGGTACGATGAAATCTAGTTTGCGATTAACTTCTTTCTACTGTGGTGCCATATTGAGCCAACGCGAAAATTTTGTAATTTTTATGAAGCTCCTTTATGTATGAACATGCAGAGGGTTTATTAAGGGCCGATGTTACCTCAATTTTGTGCAAAAGGCATCAGCGCAAAAGTGGGTGCCATATTTGATATGAAGAAGTAAATATAAATAATCTAATGTAAAAATAAGGACTTGAAGTTTTTGGGCGTTGATCAATCCCGTTTAAGGGCTGCGCCCTGCATTTGACTACCGTTCAGAATCGTAAAGGCGATTTGAATGCGTATGTTGCCTTTACAATGAATTGTGGTGGCCAGACGATGTACAGGTCAGTGTGTTTACCCTCCCGGACGAGTCTGTTTTCAATTGACTGGCCCCAGAGGGATGGAACTTGGTTGGCCTAGGCGAGCATCGGTCCGGGATTCGGACCTTAAATCATGAGTGTGTGATAGTGCACCACTTGCCACTGCACTAACTTCGCAGTGTAATAAATAAGTAAGTAGTAAGTGAATAAATAATAAGAATGTAATATAGTAGATAATGAGTGTTTCAAAAATGTTTCTTGTTTTTTATTGCTTCTTATTATTTTGTTTAGAAGTTCCTTTTTTGTGCACGGTTGTTTCTTCTATTCGAACCTTATTATTATACGTTGAATTATGACACATGAATATGCATGGTGCTGCAAAATACGAGTTTGCAGTGAAATTTATAAATACAAATCAATAAATTGATCGATAGATCACTTACATATGATACCATTCATGAATTTGTACGAATGTCTGATTAATCTCAATAGCAACTGCATGAACACTTGGCATCCATTGTAATACAGCCAGTGCACAGAAAGTAATATGTATGATCTGGAATCGATATATTGATTGACTATATCGATCTGATTAGACTTACATATGTCGTCATACCTGATAGGACCTACGGTTTTGCTTGGCAAGTGGCCAAAAACCTGCAATAGCACCAATGCATTGAAACGTGGCTGGAATTAGCACCGAGATTGCGGACCGAATTTTGAGCGTTTGCGAACCTGAACTATCCATCTCTTGATCCAGGGTATTCCATGAATATGTAAAGGTGGAATGTTGCCAGATGTCGCTGCTTCCACACGGGTGGTCCGGGGAACAAGTCCCGGATCGATGCCCGCCCATGCTAACCTAGTCTTCCATCTCCCAGAGAATTTTAATCTGTACAAGACTAGTGGGTGATGAAGAATCGTCGACTTGTACATCGGCAGACCATCGCAGGGCACTGCGTAGGCCAAGTACTCTTTTACAAACGCTGCTACGTCCTGAATGCTAGCCGGATGTGGGCGCTCTCCCGAACGTCATTTTCCCTTCCCAATGTTTTACAATTTTCTGTCCCTATTTATTTGTACTCGATGATAGTAAAGGTGAGGGACCTGAAACTGTTCCTAAGTGTGAAAAACGCGGAAGCAATCAGGGCCATGGTGTCCTTGAAATCATCATGCCCAAATGAAATCGAATGGACTCACTTCTTTCATCTATTGGAAGAAGTCCTTCCGGCTTATCAAAGTCAAGTAATGAATTCGATGAGAGCGGATCCTGAAAATAATTTTTCAAAAGGGATTTTTCAGAGTGGCACAAATTGTTCGCTTGGGTAGCAAAGTGTTATCGTGATACCCTTATAATCACATATACAATTGAGACCATATAAGTCTCTTCCAGTGGAAAGTTTTCATTTCGGACGAGTCGCCCAAAAAACCCAGCATTCTCGCGCTTTTTCTCGTTTCGTTTTCACTCTGTACCAACTTTAAAACAGAAGGTTCAGAGCCGTTTGTGGAGCAGGAAAAAGATTCTCATACAGGGATGAGGTAAAAAATTCAAGGGTTATGGAGTAAAAAGTCAAAGAAATTCCATCCCAAAAATTAAAATTACTTTCATTGCAGATTTGTGGAACACGAGAATTCAATGGAAAAACTTACATCAAACAATTGCCGAAGACGAACAATGGCAAGCAGTGCGAGACCAATTGATATTGTAAGTTGAATTAATGGTAGTAAACAATATGCGATCAGTGACGGAGTGAGTTGACGTTTGCTTGAAAAATCAAGGGATATATTGTTAAAATTAAAATTAAAAAATTGAAATTTAAATAAATTAATTAAATAATCAAATAAAAATTAAAAAAATTAAATTAAATTAAATTAAAATTTAAATTAAAAATCAGTGGGATATATTGTTTGACAGCATAAAACGATTTACCCGTTCATTATTTATTCATTTTTCATAATTTATCTCAATAAGACTAGATACTGTAAATCCTTGGGCTTTTTTTTCGTTAAATTATCATATGTGCAGTGTTTACCGCCCGTAATAAACATACATATAAATAACATAAGGATACTGTATACTGTTCTGTAAGTGCATTGTTACTCGGGTATTGACAAGTGGGAGTGTTGCGGTCAATAAGGCCCGAGGATAGCATAAAAATTGAAAGTGTGCGAGCAGTCGCACGGCGCACTTTTAAAACCCCTTGAAGAAGTTCGTAGTTAAGAGGGATCTTGAAGTTAAGGGACCCCTTGTATATCACCTGAAGGTCGATTTCAAAAATCTTCGTGTGCTCCTATACCGCCAAAAGGCATTAAAGAGATTTTCGGATCAAATAGTATAAATTGACCTACTTACCATGTTGTGGTATCAGTTGAAACTACAGCATTTACGATTGGATGAGCACTGGATACCGGGGACGGCGCTTCCGTCTCGTCCAAGAAGCGAAACTCGTCGTAGATCGAAAAGAAAGTCCATTTTAGTTTTTTGAGATACGTACCTAATGGCTGGCGCCCATGTTTTTGTCTCTCGGCTGGTCAGAGATTAGGAGGGTATTTGGGAAAGCTACAATCAATGTAATGTATTGAGAGTCATTTGGGATTCGATCCTCCATCCAACGCATGCTTGTAGCACCGCTAGCCACTGCGCTGCTGTCCCTTTTGTAAACTA